GGTTGGGGCCGCCACTCATTTTCTTTGTGGGTGGGATTACCTGGCCCATGGACTGCTTCTCCTCAAGATTTGGACGTGTCTTGACCAGGTATTCTCCAGCGGCGGTTGAACCCGTTGCTGGGCTGTTGCTCGTTTCTTCTTCAGCTTGGGCTAAGTTTTCTTATATTAGGCTTGTCTTGGGATCATATAGCAACCAATAGTGGACTTCTCCGTCATTCCAACTCATCTTTATCACAAAAACTCCATATTCTTCTCCTTATAGCTCCTTTAGTCCTCCAGATTTCTTCAATGCTTGATCTAAACTTCCTTTGGTTGATTTGTCACTTCAAATCATTCAAAAAAACCATACCAAGAAGGCATCAAATAGGAAAAGAACACAACCTAGGTCTATTAAAGGCTCATTGATCAAATAGTTGTAATTTAGATAAGAAATACTAGAGAAATAACTAAAGATGCTTTGATAGAAGGGGAAACAATATGAAGAATGAGAGTGAGAAAACTATAAATAATGTGTCATCATATACTAACCATAAAACTCACGAACAATCTGGAGTGCATTATTATGACCATTAGGTGGAAGTCAAATAAAAAATTCCTTAGAAATTTGAAGCGCGTGGTCTCGGGTGTAAACAAGAGAGTCAATGTTTCCTTTCTAGAATTCTTCGCCATAAGCATACCATGTTAGCGGCTCTACATCACTGAAATACCACTTTTCAGAGGGACAAGCATAGAAATACTCTTTAAACCAAGTTGAGTTCAGTTTTGGAGAGCCATGCACAAAGCCCACCTCTGTCTCTTGCCTCCCAACGACTAATAGTTCCCAGACTCCCGGAGACTATACATTAGTCGGAAGGCGTCAAAAGAGGGTTGCACTCCCAAACTCTCACAAGCGGCCCTATAGGCAACAAATTGGAAGAAAATTGATGGGAAGAGATGCCCAATAATGCCCTTCAATCGGCACAAAGTGCTAGTAAGTACATGATCTAAAGGAAAGCATATTCCCAGTCTGACATGCACTACATAGACAGTAATCCAGCCATCAGGACAAGACGCCGAGCGGCTTTTAGGAGAGGGAGTTGCATAGTCCCAATCTGCAGGAAGGTTATGCGTCTTTATGCAATGGAAAAGAGGGGTTCATAAGCAAGACCTTGCTCATTGAAAGCCAAGGGAACTGGAACGTTCTCCTGCATATCTTCATGATGTCACAACCTATAGGTGTTGTAAGCAATTGCTTGAAATGGATATATGGGGGTGGGGGGGGGGTCTCCAAAAATCATCAAAGAGGGAAAGCTTGGAGGGTGGATAATTAATGTGAGTCGCCTCAGGGCTATCAAAAGAGATGCTATCTAAAGACAGAGCTATCATCAACAACTGAAGAATTCTCCTAATCACTACTGAAGCACCTAGCCACATCAGTTAGCCATAAAATAGAAATATAAGCTCGTCCCGTATACATTTATCTAACATTAATGGGAACACCACCAAATCTGACTCCATAGTGGAACATTCCCATTTGTAATCTGAAATGCTTAAAGGATATAGAAAGTCAAGCATACCTTTGGAGGTTTGTACAACACCAGTGGAGGACCCAAATGAACCACCGTCAGTCGAAGGGGTGGCCATAGTGTCGCCGTCATCAACCGCTTGAATCTCGATCGAAGCATCAGCCTGAATATCAACAACGACAATGGTGGTCGATTTCTTTGACATCTTTTTGAGATTTCCTTTTGAGCTTTAGAGACTTTGATGGTTTCATAGTGGAGATCTTTGGGTGGCTGATGAGATTTTATTTGTATTTCGAAGCACACTCACATCTATCCTAACAAAGCCAAGTATAACAATGCTAACAATGTAGTAAATGGCTCGGTCGTATTCAAAGAGTCACGGTTTCCTAGCCTACTTAGGCTCGGTTTCTATATAGTCGATTATTACTTAGCAGGTGGAAAGTTGGAGATTAATGAACTACAAGTCAATAGGAGAGAAGAGGTACTTGGGGTGCCTCCCTCGCCCTAACCGCTGGAGATGGCATGAAAAGGACGGAAGGACAATCCATGGTGACTGAGGTGCGGAGATTGCTAATCTAGGGATTGGCTCAATGGTCATGCAACCAATTCCCCTCATGCCCTGATCCACTAACCTGATGTCACCTCAGCTAGCTTCACGATGCATGGATAAAACATATCCCCTCTAAATGGGTTCAACCCATCCACACACTAGGTCGTCAAGCCAATGTCACCACTCGACACCCTAGCTTTGACTTGGTGGAAGTATAATAGGCACGGGTCGCCTCGTACACCTTACTAGATTCCTAGATCATTCATCTACACTATCATGCCAAACCGCTCAAATCCACAACAATCTCATGCAATCCTAAGTAGTAGGCAATCATGAAAAGCATATGGAGAGACAAGTTCAAAGCATAATTAACATAGATAAATGCATAAAAGATCTAGGTAAACTCATTCACAAATTACAAGAAGGAGATTGATATATCACCACTTAATTTGCAACTTGGGCAAATGAGATACAGACAATCCCACACTACTTGATGCAAAGTAAGAACAATCATCAAATCGACAAAGATAGATAGATAGGTTCATAATCATCCACAAATCAAGCCTAAAACATCCTATTACATGTCAAACCCTATGTTAGGGTTTGGGGGACTAAGCCCTAAAATACCTTGAGGAACTACCATGAAGGGGGGGGGGGGGGGGGGGGGGGGGGGAGAAGAGACGTGAATATGGGGGAAATTAGAAAGAAGAGTCTTCAAGTGTTGGAAATCCTCCTCCAAAGCTCTCGTTCACTTCTTTTTTTCAAACCTTCTATTTTTCTCTCTAACCTCACTCTAAAAAAAAGAACCTGTCAAAAGCCACTCTAGTGAAAGGAAAGAGTCCCCTATTTATAGATTTCAGGAGGACGGAAAAGTTCATTGTTGCGGGCTGGAAGTTCGTGGGAGTGAACATGGGATGTGAGATTGTTATCTCGAAGGGTGGCGTCTTTGCTACTTGTTGGCTTGGGAGTTCACAACCTGACTTCATCATCGCAATCTATGAGCCATGGCTGCGATCTTTCTCGTGGTCTTGGACAATAGAGGCTGCAAGTCGACTGTCGAAACTCTCTGTTCCTTCCTTGGTGGCTGCTCCTCAAGTTCACGGTTGACACTGCCTAGTTCGGGAGCGTGATCTTTGCTCCAGAGGCCGCGATCTTCAAACTAGACTTCGCCCCTCCTCTTCTCGACCGTGATCTCCTTGTTTTTCTCATTTTCTACACTTGTGACCCCCTTTTGTATCATCTAATACACCCTTAAAATGACATAAATTACTCCAATGGATGGATTCATGATGCATTTGATGAAATATTAACCGTTGAGACCATGAAAAGACCCAAAATATAGGGGCTAAATAACAACATCATTTTGGGTGTTATCAGTGACTTTCAAGAAAAGAAGCAAAACATAATTCAAACAACGAGCAATGGTGACTAGTGGTAAGAAGAAAAGAGGAAGAGGAAAGAAGAGAGGAAAACACGAGAGCTAAAGTCAGCTTAGCGGGAAAGAAAGAGAAGCTGAGTTGATTTATAGGAAGACAAAGAACGAGTCGAAGTTTGGAGTGCCCGAAATAGGATGTTATAGGCGGCGATGGGAAAGCTAAGAGACCAAAGCAACGTTTGGAATGACCAGTGTCAGTCCTCCTTTCCCTATGGGTGACATGTGGCGAAGAGCGGGATATTCAAAATGGGAGCAATAATAAGGGCAAGAGCGTGCACTTAATTTGAAGAGGTCCTTGGGAAAACTTTCGACAATGAAGGAGGCAGGACGCCCTTATGTGGTCTGCTATGCATCTTAACGGCAGGGGGCACACGATAGAGAGCATTACACAACACGTCAAGATCACTCAACACATGTAACCTAGTTATAGCCGCCAAAACCCACAACTTTTCCCGCCTAAAGGGCAAATGTTGAGCCAAGTGTTGAGCTTAGATGGGCCTCTAAGTCCACGATAGTCAGAGCCCGCTAATAATGGGCTAAGCCAAATAGAAGGACACCACCTATCGTGGGAGACACATGGAGCCTGGAGGCGGTTAGTAAGCTAGCACAGCCTTTGAGAGGAAGGACAATCGATAGCCCGCCTGACAGAAAGTACCTCGTAGACTCGTAGTATCAAATCAGCATCGAAGCAAGAAATGTCCTTAGAAGTACGAATCTCGATATGTATGTGACTGTGCATTTATTATGCCGGAGGCGGTAATATGACGAACAAGACATCAATAGGGCACTTGACCTCGCATTTAATGCCAGAACCTCTATAACGATGAATACAAATACCCCAAGATTGCATTAATGGTAAATCAACTGTTCAATCTCTCCCACTAGACATCACTCTACTTTCTCTCACTGACTTGGGCATTTGAGAGTGTCCAATCAAAAGGTTGAATGTGTCAAAGCAAACTTTCGGCTTTTGCCCTGCCTGCACACTATCGAGATCAATATATCTTTTGCGGTATATTTTCTTTCGTATCTTGCAAATTTCGAGATAAGCTCATCTCATGCCAGAGTAAAATCATGGTCCTATTGATCCTTAATAGTTTTGTTTAACCAGTGAAGTTTGATTGGACTGTCGCCCTGTGCATAAGTGGAGGTTTTTGTCATAAGTCATAATTCATTGGTTTGACTTGTTATTTGCAGTCCGAGTGACGATTTTGGGTTCATTTTGTAAATTGAGAAAAAAAAGTGATCATATAAACAAAAATATAACTTTCCACGATGAAATTCAAAAGGTTTCTGAAACCAATTTCACATCTGCACCATTTATTGTTCAGTCTTTCATCAAGTTTCATGCCAGTCCGGAAGTAAGCTTATATATTATATGACAGCTAGCGACGAACCCACGTAATATATACTTGGCCCTGAGTAGGTCTTCTAGGTACAAGAACACATACAGAATACAGGACCATACAAGAAGAATGGAAGCATCTCTTACATTCACCAACATCCAAGGCTACATAACGTTCCCCATGAGGGCTGCCTGAGGGGTTAAAACGTACATCCGGCAGTCGTGAGCATCAAGTTGAGCAGAAAATGATGTCACTGCATTGTTGAGAACCACTTCGTGCTGCAACAAAAAGAATCTGTCATGGTTAGTTACAGTACAAACAAGGGGAGCTGATATACATTCCAAAACCCATTGATGGGAATGTCTATCATACAAATTTTGCAGCCTGCAACGCTGCTTTCATTTTATAACTACTCAAATGAACAAAGTGTGATCTGTACATTCCTTCACTCCGCTTACCTGCCAGAGGTCCCTCACTGAGACACTAGTGCCGGCTTCAAGCCCAATCACATTCCATTCAGCTGTTATAGTTGCAGCCTGCATACATCTATTCCACAGAACAACAGACAAGCTATTCCCAGATAAAGGGCCAGCCCAAACCTGTTACCACATTTATTATAATATAATAAGCCAATTTGGCAAGAAAACAAGTAAGTTATGCATATACTGAGCATATACTGAGACAATAAAAGGACCTGCTGGCAACCATCAGTTCCATTGCTATGCACTTTCCTTCCCTGAACCCCAAGTGGATCTGGGTAGTAGAGCAAAAGGTAGGCCAATATGAAATGAAACAATGCCATTTCATGTCAACAGTAAGAAATTATAGAATGCAGCAATTAAGAAGAGAAAAAAATATTGTCGTCAAGTTGGTTTTACCTTGGTTTACCGCAATGACCTCCTGGTTGCTTAAAATCTCCTTAGTTTCTGCAGTCATGTTTCTTATATCACACCCAATCAATAGAGGGGCCTGCACACAAGGTATATCAGTCGTCGGCCATACATTCAAATCAAATTTGGAATATATTATAATATTATGGAAAACTAGCCAACGGACACACATGATACTACAATACTCTGTCTTAATGAGCAATGACATCTGAACAAGTATAGGACAACTCAGAACAACCATCAAGCTGAAGAAAGACTTAGCTATAAGCCACTAACTATTTCCCATGTAAGTCAGATTACCCTTTGCAGCAATCAGTTGCTTCTATTTTTTTAATTTTTTTTTTTTATGTTTCTCCCAGTTGATCCCTAACTTTTTCTTTTCTTGTGGACTCGTAGTAGGATGATGAGAGCCCAGAGCTTAAGATGAAAAGAATGAGTAATAAGAAGATAAACCTTAATCAAAGCCCATATGCTAAAATGAGAACGATATTCTTTGTATGTCATGCCTCCATTGCCAACTTCCAACATATCCGGATCTGCACCGCATAAATAACATGGGGTATCAATTACAAAAGTCAAACTTAATATGGCTGTGTTCATCTAGATCTCTGCACAAAGATATGATCCCACCATTCCATCCACCAGGTCCAGCGTAAGCCGCCCACTTGTCATTCAAATCAGCAATATTAGTCATGCTTCAGAAAGAAAAAAAAAGGTGAAAGAAGATCAGCATTCCAACATCTTTCTGTAGAGAACTTCTACAACCAAGCAACTATTATCTGAAATATAACAAACTAATATTGCCTTTCCGCCTCCTAGAATCTGACAAATTGTTCACTTGCTCAAATAGATGTGCTAAGAAGAGAAGTTTCACAGGATACATTTCCTTAGGATCATTAGAACTGCGTTCAAGAGTTTAGCTCTCAAAGCAAAACCAACAAGGAAGACGCGGTGAATGAAAGCCATGGTTTTATGATTAACCCAGAGATTCTCTCAGTGAAGCTTTCCATTGTCAATAGTGTTGGGCTATTTTCAGTGTCGTTCCATTCAATATCACCTTAACCCAGATTTTGCTGCTTGTAAAATCCAAATGAGTTGGAATGAGGATTGGCTATGTATCACCTAAATACTTAATGACTGCAAAACTTCGAAGAAATTCCATGGTGCAAAGAGGAAAAACATGATAGGTTTGAGTTATAAACTCTTTTCTTCCGCTAAATAGGGTTCTGCACCAATGATTTGTAAGTTCTCAGTAAAGGGAACTGCCCTTTCCTATTTCTAGGTGGTAACGGAAGACAGACCCAGCAAATGCCTAAAATAGTAGTTGGAAAAATTAGCAGGGTTAGAAGATGAATCAGAGGCATGTATACCATATATGAGATGTAAGTGGTTAAACAGTTAACCGAGTTTCAGAAAGATTTTACCTTACCCATGTGTCATTGATATCTTCTGTTGTACGCCAACTGTTGCCAACTTTTCCAGCCCATAAGGCCGGGTCATCCACACCCCTGTTTAAACCAAAAGAGCTTGTAATAATACAGAGGTACCGTGGATATATGGACATAAAGACAAAAGGTAGGCTCTTTTACCATTCACAGATTGAGTAGAAAATTGATCGTCCAGTTGCATTTAGAGCATCACGCATTGGTGGGTATCTGTAGATCCATGAAGTGGCACTAGCTTACATGATTTGTTCGCATGAAAGCCATCATTTCTATAACAACTGAGAGTTGAGAGACAACCTTTTTTTGGGTTCGATGCCCAGATTGAAACAGTTATCATACTTCAGATAATCCACATCCTGCCCAGAATAACACCATTAGTTGAGTGTGACAGCTTCAAGGAGAAAGTTGCAGCATTTAATGCCAGTTACTGACAACATAAGCTACAACTAACCCATGAAGCAAATGACATTGCATCTTCTTTTTCATGGAAAATCGATCCTGGGCGAACTTGACAAGTAAATTTCCTGGGGAAAAAGACAGGCAGAAAGTATTTAGTATAAACGGTAAGTATTGCACCGTTGGGCTTTGACATGAAGAATAACAAGTAAACTCAAGTTTTGCCATAAGAAAAGCTACTAAAGAGTTCTTACCCAGCATCAGAATAGATACCAAGCTTCAGGCCTTTCGAGTGAACATAGTCTGCAAGAGCCTTGATCCCAGAATTAAAGGTCTTCGGATCAGGAACCATTTGGCCCTGTAAAAGCATCATTTTTGTTTTACACAGTAAGGAGTTTGCTATTTTACTACCTGCCTTACGATTGTCTTAGAGTCTATGAGTTTAGTTTCCATTTGTTATGTCACCACAAGACAGTTGTATTAATCACAAGACCAAACAACCACATCATAAGATTATAAAAGGCTGCTATTATGCGGATACTGTTCTACTAGCCAACTGTGTCAGTGTAATTGCATGCACAGCTACATTACATCATTATCAAGGTACATGTATTGAAAAGGCTTAAAGAGAGCGATGGACCTTTGCATCTCGTGTGACCTTAGACCAACAATCATCTGGGTCCAAGGAAAAAATCGAAAAAACATGGTTAGATCTGAAGAGAACAAGAAACTAAAAGTTAAAGCAAATGGAACCCTGCAAAACGGCTACCTATATTGACATATGTATAACCCAAGTTGGCCAGGCCAGTTGAGATAAGGGCATCAGCTGTAAAAGCAAAATCTAAGTTAGCACATCACTATCACTTATCAAGCACCTGACACATTCAGCTTTCCAGCCACATATGGATACTCTTCAATCAGGTTATGATGAAGGATCAAGCTATGATGCATGTCAGAATGCCAAATTTAGATGCTTATAAAAAGAATAAACTGGGATGAAGCTGTTTCCTTCGCAGCAATTGCATAAACCAGGAAATCTCTTCTGCCCATTGCCCAACTTCCAAATTAAAGCACCCCACTGATCTCTACAACTACCCATTAGTGCACCTGTTTCCTTGATCACTGTCTCGTTGATGTTGCATGCAAAGAAATTCCAGCTATTCCATCTGCCAAGACATACATTTGGATAAGAAACCAAAGCACTTCTCAATATGCCAAACCGAAGATGGGAAATAAAAGGCTTGAAAAGTCGTCACATTTTGAATTACTTAAAAGGAAACAAAGCCAGCTCGGAACCCTCGATCATAAGCAGACTTGAACAGTTCATATCCAGAAATCAGCAACAATCAAATAATTCTAGAAAATCAACAAAACCTCACGTTTTGAAGTACAAAACCCAGTAGGCAAAGAGAGAGAAGGAGAAAGCATACCCCATCGGAGGAGTTCTTGCCAAGCCATTCTGGAGCTGCAAAATCCCGTACTTGGACGTATCATAAATGGCATTGAAGGCTCTGCTGTAACCATGCTCATTCCCATCTTCATATCTCTGCAAAAGAGGGGCTGCGTTCCCAAAAACAGCCTTAAGAGGGAATTCCCCGACTAGGGACATGGTCGTAAGAAGGAAGAAATACAGAGTGGCTGTGAAGCCCTTCTTCTCGCTCGTCGCCATTTCCGGAACAAAAAATCAAAGAAAAGAAAGTTTCTGCCTATTGCAGACTGCAGTGACCAATTTTCCAAGGATCTGTTTGGTTTGGTTTGTGCTTTGTACAAGACAGGTCAGCACTCAGCAGTGAACTTCCCAATTTCTTTCCTACTTTATTTTCTTCTTTTGCTTATGGAATTTGTTAATTGTTGTCATCATTAGTCTTATCTTTTTGTAAGCCTGATCCAGAGGAGAGGATGACCAAAGAGGTATAGTTTAGTCTTGAACTTTCTTTTAATCAAAATCTTATTACGTGCAAGCAAGGAGTTAGTAGTTACAACTTACATGTGACAGCTCAGCATTGTGCCAATTATCCAGCATACTCCCGAATATGCTTTTCACGGGTTTGTGTTTCTTCACCATAAAAGGAATTTTTTTTTCCAAAGTACACTAGTTATAAAAATTTCTCAAAATACAATAGCACCAAAATAATTTTTCATTCTACATATGTTCAGTTCTGTTCGCTTAAGTCTAAAGCGGTATAGGCCTTGATCGCTGTAGATAGACACGATGAAGATTTAATTGCTGAAAAGATAAGCGATCAATACGGATCACTAAGGTGGCAATGTTCACCCAAGAATTCCCACAATTTTACCAACAATATCAAACTACATTGGCATTAGCTCGTCCATCTAGCCATGTTCTCACTCTTATACTAATTGCTTCTTCACAACCACCTCCCATGTGAACTCGTGTGACCAATGTAGTCATATGCTCGTTTCTACATAAAAGCGGAAATATGAGTAAAAACGTTAAGTGTAGCGTAAAAGCGTAAGTTTTTTTTTGGGTACAATATGATTAATCTTCAACAAACTACATGTCGCAATTAAAAAGGGCACTACTCATGCACTTAATCTAATTCAAAAACTTTTAGGGGACACACATGGACTATGGCTATGGTGACATGCAAGGCACTGTGACTTGCACAATTCGGTCGACCTATGTGCTCATCCGGTCTAAGAAATTCAATCCACAATTATAATAGAAAGAAACCAAAACTTCTTAGCATCTGAATCACCAACACCAAATACAATAAAATAAACCTCACAATAGTTGATACATACCTAAAATGGAAAACCACATTGACTTAATATCAATCCACGATCAGAGTTGCTTTAAGCCAAATCATCTTTAAGACTTAACAAAAAAAAATCGAAATAATGGAGTTCCTAGACCTCTCTCCTCTCACTCATCCGTATTTTTATGATTGGTGTTGCTAGCATAACGATAGTCGGATGTGTTTGGGATGCATGTATCTTCCACTGAAAGATCGAAATTCATCTTACATCTTTGTGTACACTCACCTGTAGCGTGCTCATGTGGCTGGACTTTGAGCTATGGTATTGTATATTGAATTAATATAACTAATTTTTTGGCCCGCGCTTCGCAGCGATAAGAAACTGATTATATCTTAAAATTCATATTTAGTTGAAATCAAATAATTCATAAAATATTTTGCATAAGATACTTTTATAAGCATTACATAACATCTTAATTATTACAGTAGACTTACGTACTATGTTTGTTTAATTGCTACATAAAAGTCATTATTCATTTATAAGGTTTACTTAATTTATTTTTAATTTATATAATTTATTGTAATAAAATATTGTTACACAAATGTTGTGTAATGTATGGTCCAATAATAAAATCGAGTTACAAATAAGTCTCGCATTTGATAAAACTATTATGTAAAATAATTTAGATAATTTTATGTATGCAAATTGATGAGATTGTAAAATAAAGGGATTTTATTTAATAATAATTTTATGTATGCAAATTGTTGAGATTTTAAAATAAAGGGATTTTATTTAATAATAAGTGAAATAAGTTAGGAAAAGTATCTCATATTGTTATGTAAAATTAATAGACCTTATAAAACTTTTGTGTAATGCAAATTGATAAGGTGATCAACAATTTAGTTAAAATTTTAGAATTTTCATTCAAATCTATATTATGAAAAATTTACATATTATGTTCATTTAATTGATACATACGAAATTAACATCCCTCACAAGTTTTACGTTGTGCCTCAATCATTACTGAAGACTTATGTAACACATTATGTTAATTTATACATAAGGAATATAACTAATTGGGTCAGAGCTCATCGAAATACATCTAATGGGTAGATCACCTAGAGTATACCAGTCATTACCATAACTATATAAGTAATCCAATGTAAGATTCATGTATGTATTTGTAATTTGCATAATTGTTATATAATAGTGTTACGCAAATCTTCCATAATTTTCCTTCTGCACTCCCCCGAACCAATCAATCTACAATTAACAATAGAGGGAAACTATTAGAGGAGCTAGGGAAGTAAACCCATGGAACCTGCAGCTTCTGTCTCTCTGGGCTAAGCTTCGATGCGGCCACCATAACTTCTCTTGCAAACGGAAGGAGAAGAAGTAGAGAAATAGATCAAGTGAGAGGAGGTGAAGAAAGGGGAAAACGATGAGGAAAGAAGCTTGCTCAGCCTCCATACTACCCAAACGAGTAATAGTGGGTAACCCGTGGGTATCCAATGTCAAAATTCTTAATCCCATGTCTCATCCCTTAATAAATATTACATGTATTTGGGTACCCGTAACATTAAAAAAAAGGACGGGTATGGGTATAGAGGTCGATCCTTTTAAGAATGAGGTAGACCATTTAATGTACAACGTCGACCTCTTTAAGATTGAGATCAACCTTTTTTATTGTTTGCTTTCCAAAGAGGTCGACCATTTTATGTACAAGGCCGACCGCTTTGTTGAACGTAACAAAACGGAAACAATAGATTCGATCGACCTTTATTAGTCTGCGGTCGACCTATTGGTGCAAGTCACCGTAGCAAAGTCCAAACTTTTAATAGTAGAGTAAACGTACAACTAAACCAACAATACAATAAGGAATTAATGAGGCTTCTTCGTCCATAAAAAAGTATAACCAACAGCTGCACCCCATTATCGATCGTTTTGTTCTAATCTGGATGTCAAATTAAACAGGATTACTGAGGCTTCTTTTATTAAAGGATTCTTCATCCATTGAAAGTAATAAATCAAATTATTAGTAAATATTAATCACATAAGTCCAAGGTTGTCAAACCGGATTAAGTCGTCCAACCGGTTTGGAAAGGGGTTTGAGGTTTAATGATAAGATCGGGGTTCAACCGGGTTAGGCCGGTTTTCACAAGATATGTTGGTAATTGATACTCGAGAGCTATTGACACCTAATAAATTATGCATATAGGTATGTGGTACCTTGCATTTCACCCCAGGGTACCGCATACCTTGAGTATGAACGTGTTATCTAAACCTGGGATTAGCATGATGTTTTGACTTAATACTATACCCTAACCCTTTATGAGTGAACCCTAGGTCCTAATTATCTAAATCATAAACTATAAATCCTAAGGTGGTGCATTCAATTTTTTGCCTATATTTGGACGAATCATAACTGTCAATCACTGTTTATGATTAAATTGATCTTGGGGTATACGATTTAGAGAATTAAGACCTAGATTTTGATCTTTAGGGATTAGAGTACACTATCATGTCCGAAACATCAGTCAATTCAAGGTCTGGATAGCGTTTTCATACTCAAGGTATGCGATACCTCGGATTTCACCTTGGGTACCGTAGAATTCACCATATATATGGATTCAGGCTAGCGTGTGCCCGAGCGTACGTTAGGCTATCGTACGCCCGTTGAGTTTTACTATTTAGATCATGAATTAACCGGAATTTTGGCATGATACTATACCTTAACCTCTAATGGGTAAACCCCAGTACCTAATTTTCTAACCCAAATCATGAGATTCGTTTAATCTTAAGAAGTAAATCAACAATAATTTCGACAAATCAGGACCGTTGATTTGCATTTCAAGATTAAATGAATATTATGCTTTGGATTAGTGAATTGGGGACTGGGCTTCACCCATTAGGGGTAGGATAAAGTATCATGTCTCAAAATTTTGTTAATTCATTGTCTAAATAGCAAAACTCAACGGGCGTACGGTAGACTAAGGTACGCCCGGGCGTATGCTAGCCTTTGCCATATATATGGAGACGACTGGTATGCTCCAGGATCATAGTATGCTCCAGGATCATAGTATGCTCCAGATGATCTGACCGTTAGATTTACATGGATTAGCTCCGGCCAATCTCAATGGTCCACTCTTGACACGCTGCAACACAACACCAAACTGCGACCAAGTGTAATCGCAGTCCGGGAATGCAGTAAAGTGGCAAGTTCTAAATATCAACCTGGGGTCTAGATCTACTGCCTACTCCGTGATCATCTGTTATCTAGCAAACTAAGGCGAGTGATTGTTGTTTTAACTAAAAGCAGTAAGAAAGCAGGAATTGGTTCGATTTTCTGAAGCAAGGAAGAGTCACTCGGGAATGAGTCCCCCTAGCTCCTTAGTTAGGTCTCAGTTGTAATTACCCTGGGTTGATTTAATGTTGATTAAACTGCGGAAGATCCGACAGTAGCTTAGAATCTCTTAAGCTGACCAAGCCCTCTCAGTCTAACAACCCGGCAGACGACTAGTCTTCACCGGGATAGAAAGCTGAAGCAATAAGCACAAAACTCCACTACTGGAATTGGATTCCAGTACAAAGCAGTAGACTGACTAACTCTCGTATAGCCCATCTACTACTACAGAATGAAGAAGCTCTCACAACCTAATCAGATTCTATCTATCTCAGGTTGCAGCAAAAATCAAGAAAAGCTGATAAGACTTCAATCAATTCAATGAATCATGCATCATTCGATTAAAACCAAGCAGTATAGCAATCCCAAGTCATTACAATCATGATCCCTAACACATGGAACTAGGGTTCTTCATACCCAAGTGAGAGAAAGTTCTACTCCATAGAGAGAGAGAAAAAAAGATTACACAGCAGTCATACTCATAACAATGGGAAGAATCTGCTTGGGGTGATGATTTTCACTCCTATCACTAATAATGGCGCGGG